TGGACTGCCGTTTTTGAGGACATTAAAGGCTTTTAAGTGCGCTTTATAGTCCTGAAAATACGGTAGTCAGACTTTGGGAGTATAGCGTTCAACGCGCCAAGGTTTGCTCCTTGCAGTTGGTGCCTTGTTTACCGAAAATATGGCCTATTCGCATAGTAGCATCTCACTGGACAATCTTATTCCACCTTGGAACGCATATTGCCAACCAGAGTCGCGAAAGTGATGTTGTCCGGTGTACTTTGGCTGAAAAATGGAAGTCCTCGTGTTCCGACAAACAGACAATCTGTATTCACTTAAGTCTTGACCGAATGATAACTCTCTTCGGGAAAACAGCTACACTACTAAATGTTTTCTAATTGACCTTTCAATTGGAAATCTTCTCCGGGTGTATTTCGATCATTTGGGGTTTGGGGAGCCAGAGCCTTGGTACTTACCACTTGCTGTTGTGTTGCTACCGTTCGCATCAGAGGCCACCCTTACCTATGTGATTAGGAATTTTTCATTTACCATCTCAAGTCATAGTAGGCACATTCTCGCCCGAATGATACTATCTACACACTTTCACCGTAGAGAATGTTTTGCTCTGGTACAGATTAATGTATGCAAATCTATACGGACGTGCCATTATCAATGAAGTCCCGAAGCTCACATAATTCGCCCCCTGAGATGGGCATAAAACGAGACTGCAAGTGACATTTCCGAAGGTTTTGTATTCACCTGGATAGGTTTGATAGCCGGAGATGTTGTTGACTTCGGCCTCCGTAACATCCAACGAGGAAAATAGTATTTGAGAAGAAGCGGGTGTGATCGGTGGCATAAGAATTTTATTCGTCTGACCTTCCGAAATCCGTCGCGGATCCATCACCCTCCTTCTTGTCTCTGGTGATGGATCCGTGACGTATTTCGAAACATCAGGCGCGTAATATTCTTGTCCCAAAGATCACATCTGCTTCTTCTCACCTGCTTCTTGGGTTCAGGACTTTCGCTTGTACAGTAGTCGCCGGCTATTAAGCCCACCTCGGGCCCAGACCAA